ACAAGTGAATATGAAAGTCCATGAAAATGGATTCATAAAAACAGTTCCAGCCTAGAGGCACAACTAATGATCCCCATAAGGCAAAAAAGAAATGTTCCCTACCCAATCTACTCCTCTTTCCTGATAACAACCTGTCCCTGTCGAATGATAGTGTATGACAAATACTACAGGGAGGTCCACTTGTATACATTAATCCATTGCCAACTATGGCACCTTATGCAGGAATAGTTTATTATAGCATAGGCCCATGGACATCACCTCTCTGGCTCTGACTTTCTTCCCTGCTATAACCCTGTCTCTGTCTGCTTCAATTCAGAAAACAATTCAATGCATTCAGTTGAAAAGGGACCTTAGAGACCATTATATGGGCCAAAAAAAGTGAGGCATAAATCACAGAGGTTAGTAGGAGTCGGGCCTAGCTTTCCCTTATTCTTCTACAGTCAAAGGTCCTTCCCTGGTGTAAGAGAATGAATTACTTACTTATTTGCTACAAATTTTGCCTGGAATGTTCCTTGAGAACTAGGGCTGATCATTAAATTATTCATTAAGCATGTATTTATTGTACTTAGCAAGACCCAGTTATGTGACAAGGAAGTAAAGAGCAACAACTTGACCTGAGGCAGAGAGGGCTAGGAGTAGGCAGGGTAAGTAAACCCTGAAGCACAATCCCTAGCTCATAGTAAAGGCTCAATAAATGGTGCCAGTTTCCACCAAAGTCATCTTCCAATGAGATGGAAATAAAGAGATAGGCAAATTCAGATGATAATTGGACTCACATGATACACTGAGAGCTTAAGATTTGTATTGGAGACAGTAGGGAGCGTATGGAGGTCTAGAGAGCCAGGACTGGCATGATCCGCTGTCTAAAAGGCTATTCTAACAAACTGGGAGGATGAGAGTGAAGACGTGAAGATTGGCTGTGTCACTCTCATGAGAGTTCAAGGACATCATAATGAACCTGGGAATGGAGAAAAGGGGAACGTTTCCAGAGATTGTTTAAGAAGGGTAATACCAAGGGGTAGGTGGTAAGACAAAAAGTAGGGAAGACGAGAGAGCCTAGAGAGACTCCTGGCTAAAGTGCTGAGGACCAGTATGATTGCCTTTACTAGGATAAGATCCACAGCTGTTACTTTAATGTAAGAAGAAAAGGAGGTCCGTTTGGGGACCTAAGAGACATCTGAGGGAGAGAGGTCCAGAGGTATTCATACACTCAGTACTATAGAAATCAAGAGAAAGGTTTGAACTTGAGAAACTAGTACAAATATAGCCATCTGTATGTTACACCCTAAACAGTCAGGATTGGATACAATGTGTCCGTTCCATTTATACTGATCAATACCCCAGGGAGCCCTTGGGTCCCTAGGTGATCTACTTCTGAAAAAAATCGCCATTTAAAACACCATAGAGCACAATTATACTCTGACTCACATGAGGTTGCCACGGACAAGAGTCAACTCGACAGCAACTGGTGATAAGTGTTAAAGCTAAAGCAAAAAAAACAAGAGAGGGCATTCTGGTGAGGGGACTCATAAAACACGTATACACTATCATGTGTTTAAAAAAGAAAGAAAATTAGTAGCCACTGAAAGGGCCAAGCTGAGAATTAACCTAGGGTGTGTTGTGATAGTGAGATGCAGTGCAATTGCTTGGCCTTTGCCAAGGGAAGAATGTGAGGAGACAAAGGGCGGTTTCCAGTCATGCGCTGGGGAGCTATGTTTGTGTCTGTATGGCACAGGAGGCACTGAATATGCGGTATGAATCAGGGCATGCTATCATCTGGATACAGTGATCTACCTCCACAGTTGAACTTCCAAGAATATCGTATATACTTGTGTGTAAACTGAGTTTGTCAGCACATTTTTAATGCAGTTTTTGTGGTTAAATTAGGTGCCTCGGCTGATATTCGGGTAGACTTATAGTCGAATATATATAGTAATTCGAAACCAGTTGCCATTGAGTTGTGTCCTACTCCTGGCAAACCCATGTGTGTCAGAGAAGAATTTATATGGTTTTCTTCCGTGACTGGAAGTATATGGCCAGGTCTTGCTTCCAAGGAGGTGGTGGGTAGACTCACGTTGACTGTCTGCACCACTCATGGACCTCCCAAGAGCAATTTAAGCAACCAAGCCCTGGTGGTGTAGTGGTTACACGTTGTACTGCGATCCACATGATTGGCAGTTTGAAACACCAGAGTTTCACGGGGAAAGACTGGGCTTTCTACACCCGTAAGCAGTTAGAGCAGCGGCTCTTAACCTGGGGGTCGAAAGACCCTTTCCCAGGGGTCGCCTGATTCATAATTGTAGTAAAATGACAGTTGTGATGTAGCAATGAAATCATTTTATGGTTGGGGGTCACCACATCACGAGGAACTGTAGTAAAGGGTTGCGGCATTAGGCAGGTTGAGAACCACTGAGTTAGAGTCTCAGAAACTCAGAGGGGATCACTATGAGTCGATGGCAATGGCAGTGAGTTTGGTTGGTTTGGTCTGATTTCTTCAGCAAATATGGGTGCCTCTGACCCCAGTGCTAGCTGCTGGGGATACTGCAATGAAAAAGAGTCTCAAGATTCCTTCTCTTAGACAGCTCACACTGTAGCAGAAAACACCCACAAACATACACATACACACAAAGCAAGCACACAGATATCTAAGTAAAATGGCAGGTAATGCTAAATGCTGGGGGAGGGGGAAGTGGGATAAGAATAACAGTAGATGATCTGCTTTAGACAGTCCAAAAACGAACCCCTCTCTGGAATTAATCTTTAAGATGCATTTTAGAGTTTGCCATGAAGGGGAAGGTGGCATGCATTCCAGGCAGAAGGGGCCGTGTGTGCATAGGCTTGGAGGCAGGAAAGTGTGTGTGAGGTGTTTGAGAAACTGAAAGAGAGCCAGGGAAGCCAAAGTATAGAGCTGGAGAAAACGGAGTGATGACAGTGGAAATAAACACAGTCGCATCAATCAAGCCCCTGTAGGCTGCAGTAAACCTCTGGGTTGTTATTGAAAGGCTAATGAAAGACAAACCACTGAAGGGTTTCCAAGCTGGGCGTGACCTGGTCTGTTTTCCATCCTAAGCATTTTCTCACTAGAGATGGGCATAATGGCCAGGAAACGGATTCTTTCTGAGCATGCAGGGCCTTGGAGCCACCCTTCCAATCCCACTGTGTGCTGGCCACTTAGTCCACCCACAAGGAGGATCAGGACTCTATCTGCAGAGACACATGTTTCCCCCTTGGATCTCCTTCCTGGCTTAAGAGCTGCCCAGAAAGCCCTATAAACTCACTACGGGGTTTCCAATGGACGGTGCTAGAGTGTTGGGAGAATGAATGCTTTCGCAAAAGGACACAAGACAATAAAACCAAACCACTCCTTCATTTCGGATGGAAATGTCTTGTTGACCCCTGCTTCCCATTAGTCCATGGGCTCAACAATTGTCTTTGCTCTTCACTTTGCCTCCCTTTCTTTTCCACATGGCCATGAACATGTGTGCTACTGTGAACAATAACAGAGAACTAGAAATTCTTATTGAGCCCAGAAGGCTGGGAATTTTAAACAATAAAAACATGCCTTCTGACTGCTTGTGTCCAAAGAACATTTTGAAGACACAATGGAGCTTTATTAACACCAAATGAGCTCTTGGGAAACTTTGGGCCAAATGTTGGGCTCCGGGTCACCAGGTAGTGATGCAGTCAGCAACTCCAGAAACAAAGTTGGCAGCACCTCCCTGCTGCCCTCTCCTGGGCTCATTTTCTCATGCGGAAACCCACATCTTGACTGCATCAAGCTAAGGTTACTGTACAGCTTTCAGCCACTATTGTTTTCAAGAGCCAGAATTCTCAGCCTAAGAGAAAGTCCCCTTTGTCTTCCAGCCAAGATTTAATTTACATTCCCCTGAACGCTCCATTCACTTTATTTGCAGGCTAAAGGCTCTCACAATTGTACTAGGCCCTGAATTTGAATTTCCTTGTGTTTCCCCTGTTTGGAAATTTGCCAAGGTCAGCCTGTGGACAATGACAGAATTCAGCGTTACCTTAGGGGAAATCTCGATTGGCCAGGATTTCTTATATGTAACCACTGTTGATAGACATATTTTTTAATTCCTGTATTTTGAATGTCTTTCAAAATACCCTTATGTGGGTAAGTATACATGTATACAGGTGCACTCATATTGCCTTTTACAGATTAAATTTTGTGCCACTCCTAAGATAAATGTTGAAATCCTAACCCTGTATCTCCAAATACAATCCTGTGTAGGAACAGTTTCCTTCTGTAAAGTAAAAAGAGGTCACACCAGCCTAATACAACACGGGTCCTAAACCTAATTAATTCTGAGTTATAAAAAGAGCAAAAGAGACCCAGAAAGATAGATGACATATGGGATCATTTACAAGCAAAACAATGCCACCAGTCGCTAGAAACTAGGAGAAGAGTTCACAAAAGTAATCAACATGACTGAGACCCCGATCCAGAATTTTAGCTCCCAGAATTATAAAATTCTGGAAAGAAATTCCTATTCTCTAACGCCGCCAGGTTATGGTGTTTCTGTTTTGGCAGGAGCAGGAACTAAGATCATCTTTTCTCTGACCACCAGTAAAGTTTTCACTCTTTTCCGTTCTCATGATATCCCTAGGCACATTATTGATATCCTGCCTTCCCCCCCAGGTTTTGCAGGCGTGCTCCTAACTGCATTTCTCCCTCCGTCTTTCTCACGCCGAGGTTCCCACTTCTGGTGTGTTACTTGTCCTTCAACACATGACACCCAAGACAATGCGACTGACTTTCTATGCTCTGTCAATCTGTTCTCACCAATAAACTTCTTTCATGTGCAAATGTACAAAATTTACTAGAATAAGGAGCAAAATGTGGCCACAAAATAATACAAATGTAACAAAATGTCCTTCCCTCATAAAAAAAAAAGCAGGTAACTAAATTCAGTGGGAAGAAATTGTTATTTCTGTTCGTAGCGAAGGTGAAAATTGATCACTGCTAGCAAAAGATTGCTTACCTGAATGTACAATAATCCACCATTTCTGTGTTCTTAGGGTCGACAGAGCTAAGCACCTGCATGACCTCTCTGGATTTTTCTTTTTCATTCTTAAGCTTTTCGATGGCAAGGTCAAAGTTGCTATATGGAAACTAAAGGGAAGAGGAAAGGAAAGACGTATTTGAATGTGCCCAGCACTTCAGAAGCCCAACCTCTCTGACAGACAGGATATCAATGTGAAAGTCGTTAGCATGTCTTCACAGAGGGACCTCCACTGTGAAGACATGACCAACACGGGTTCGGTGAAGGTTGGACCATAATTGGCTAGAGCATACGCCCCAGAACTGAAAGAAATGAACCAAAGGGGTTCCCTGCTCTGGGAATCAGTAAACAAACCCTCCTTCCACCCCAGCCTCCTCCTCTAACCCTTCAACATCGCTCCAATACGAGCGGGTTTCCAAAGTTTCTGGAAAAAGTGCCATTATCTTTCCATTCTAATTTTGAAGCCCCTGCATACGTTGAGAAACCCAAGTGGAAAGAATAGGAATTCAAATAGGATCAGTGAACTTCCATTTTCTCCACCTATTTATAGTGGGCTCCTTGGTCAGCAGGCGATGCCCTAATTAATCACAGCAAGGATGCACACACCCATGGCAACCATCTTACAGTCATCCCTGGACCGCTCACTGCATGTGCCCCCACCATGAGTAGGTGTTTGACTTAATCCCGTACAGCTAACTGATGTAAATAATTACAGCTATGAGATGAAAATGAACGACTAGATTTGAAAATAAAACATTAAAGAGAATTTAGTAAAAAGCTCTCTCCTTTTATCAGAAAATGTTCCAGGTGATTTGGCACTTACTGCAGCCCCCCTGCCTCTTTCCACCACTTTCTGCACTTCCTTTCACTTGTTTCCATGAGAGGATCTATTAGCTCTTTTCAAACAACTCCTCAGACTGATATTAAAGACTACGTTGATCTTTCTCTATTTAGAATATACCTATTGAGAGTAGTTTTCAAATAATGCAGTTTTTACTTGGGATGCTGATACGAGATAATATCCTGCCTTGCTTTTATCTTCCCAAAGGGAGAAAGGTCCTTTATAGCTTTAAAAACAAGTATATTTATACACACTCTCTATTTTATAGTAAGCTATAGATTCATGCTCTGTTTGGAAATAGAACCCTGATTTATAATAGCTCTGTTAACTGAGCTCGCTGTGGACCACCCAGTGGTAAGCATTTCACAAGTACTTACTTGTGTTATCACATCTAATCTTCATAGCAACTCTATGAGATATGAAGTTCTATTAAGTCCATTTTAAAGATAAGGAAACTGAAACTCAAATAAGTTAATATTCTATGATCCCTCAGCTAGTAAGCATGGTATCAGGTTTCCAAACCAGGCTTGCTGGCCTCCAGAAATTGTAACTGCCCTATTACTTAACTTCTTGCCTGAATTCATTGTTGTCATTGTTGTTGTTGTTTAAAAAAAAATATTGCGGTTCACAGTTTCACAACAGCCTGAATTCTTAACATAACATATGGAGATATGGTGTGGCATAGGGGACACCACACCAACCTCGCTTCCAGATAGAACACACTGAGAAGAACATTATTAGTAATCAGCCCCCAGTTGCAATTTTTGGAATCCACAAAGAATTCATGCCAAAAGCACAATCTTCCCAGGATGCTTCCAATCAATGATTGGGTAGGACTTCTTTGATGGACAGCCTTTGACGTGGGGCTCCACATCAGTCTGGCTGCAACTTTCTCAAAACTACACTGCAGCCTGCGGCAATTCCTCCCTACCTTCCTACCATGCAACCTGGATCCTAGTCAGAAGGTATTCCTTGCCCACTCCTACTCTTTCTCCCCCCTTTAGGCTTCATGCCTCCCACCAGTAAACCTCTTGCATGTTTAATCCTGACTTGGTATCTGCTTCTCCGAGGGCCCAATCTGACAAAGGTGTTGTTGTGTACATACACACACACACACACACACACACACACACAGATCTTAAGAGATTAACTCAGACAATTATATAAGCGTATTTCAAATGAAGAGCTTCAGGCCACACTCTTTAGCTCATCATTGGCAACCTCTCCTTGACTTCTTATTTAGACCTCAGGTGGCCACTATTATGGAGAGTTGCAACCCCAGCAACTCTTGGGTCCCTTGGGGGCTTCTGTTTGTTCAGGTCTCAGCCTTCCCTGTTGGCCTGTGCCAATTAACTGGGATGGCACAGTGTGTGTCACCAGATTTTCTTCCTTTCCTAGAGTCATTGGATTTCTTTCTGAAAACATTGTCAGCGTCAGCAGAAAATCCAGGAAACCTGATTCAACCCTGGGCCTGCCTCCTGCCTGTGCCTGGAATTCGTGATACTGGGCAGTAGAGAACCCAACATGTAAACAGAGTAGACAAGGACCTGGCCTCTGTGGCAGGAACCTGGGGCCAAGTTGTGCTGCTCCATTATTCATGCCCACATGTGTGAATGCACAATGTAAAACCCGTGGCAAGATGAAGAAGAAAAGGCATCAGAAGAAGCAAAACAAAGAGTGCATAGCACTGCGCGGCAAGTTGAGAATTCCATAAAGTCAATTTACCTTATTTGGATGACTCTCCATGTAGTTTAAGGTGTATTCATCAGCATTGAGCAAATGGAATAGGTAGCCATTCACATTCACTCTGGCACCAACATATAGTTCCTCCGGCTGTATATACTTTGATAGCTCACTTTTAAAAATTTCTTGTCCAGGCTTCTTGACGCGAAGTCTTTTTAAGAATTTCCCACCAAGAAACCCTGTGGATGCAAGAGTTAATGAGTAGGCTTTAAGACAAGAGCATGACTGTCCTTCAGAGATACTTCACCTTCCAAGACTGTACAACTTATCTGTGCACTCACATTGTCCTGCATTCTTTCTAAAAATAATTTATTTGTGGTACATATATGCAAGGGGACTTCAAAACATTTGTGGAGAAATTTCATTATCCTACAAACTATTTGAAACCCCCTTGAATACACAGCAAAACATTTGCTATTTAAGTATTTTTACACCTACAATTCAGTGGCATTAATTATACCCATCATACTCTGCAACCATCCCCTCATTCTCAGGGTTGAGGGATGAATGAGAAGGTGGGGACAGAAATACAAATTTTCTATAGGCATGTCAAAGGAACATGGTGGTATGGCAATCTAGCCTTTGCTTTCCTCTCCCTCCTCTCTTTCCCAATCCAACAAATATGTGTAGTGTACCTACTCTCTGTTGAGCAGTCTGTCAGCAATGTGGAACTTCTGAAGACACTTGTCTGTAGTGTCTGCTTGAACAATATCAGTTAGAAATGTCCTCACTTAATTTTATTTCTACCAATTTGTTCCAGATGATGTTCTATGTTTAATCTGACATACAGATTAAGTGTAAAAGTATTTTGGATTCTTTCATTAAGGCCTCATATTTACTACTTTCCAGAATTTCCGCAATTTTATCTGCTTTCTTCTGGTTATTGCTTTTTTGACCTCCTGAATTACTTAAACACAGGGCTCTAGTCAGTTTAATCTGATATTTAAGTGAAATTTAGAAACCTATGACTGTAATCCGATAGCCCAGATTCATTTCTGTAGTTACCTTCTTCATATTCCTCTGATATGCAGAAAACAGAGGGAGTGGAGTGACCTCAGTTATGGAATCCAATATGAGAGTCTGATTCCATCTTGGCATTACAATTTGCTAACTGGATAATCTTTAGGAATTATATCATCTCTCTGAACCGTTGGAACTTTCATTGGTAAAATAAGAATAGAAATTGTGGGGATCACAAAAATGTATTTCTCAGCTTCTTTACCATGAAGAATAACTGATAGAAGGTTCCAACTGCTACATTCTGAAATCCATTCTTAGGTTTACATCCAGGTCATGTTTCCCATACACTTGTGACAACCAACGGCTGAGTAAGGCATATGAAGTTTGGCCCGTTCCTGCAAGATAAGGGCCCCTACAACTAGTGACTGTGAGTTCTCAGGCTTCCCATCAGCCTTCCTAGAAATGAGCCTGCCTTCCTTCATTTTTGACTCCATGGCCCTTTGTATAGTGGGCTCCGAGTTGGTCAGCAGCTCAAACCTACCTGTGGCTCCATGGGAGAAAGATAAGGCTGTCTGCTCCCTGAAAAAGATTTACATCCTCAAAAATCCACAGGCGCAGTTCTAATTTGTCATTTAGGGTTGTTATGAGTTAGAATTTACTTGATAGGTTTGGGTTGGTCTTTCTCAGGGGTCAGACCTGCATTGCAGTTGGACCCCTTCTACATTCCCCCCCCCCCCATAGATGTCTTTCATATTTAATTTCATCTTGGCATTTGCTTCTCAGAGGAGCTAGCCGAGCACAAACTTAAATTCCATAAAGCTCTTGTAAGGATAGCCGTGGATACTCAAGAATGACTGCTGGTATTACTACAAAGACCACAGTTGACTGCCATCACCTTTTGTTGCTATGGTACATCTCCCCTTCTAGATTTATTTGATTTTTTTAAACAGCTTTGTTGACATATAATCCACATACCATAAAATTAAATGGTTTAAATCAGGGGTCCTCAAACTTTTTTTAAAAAGGGACCAGTTCACTGTCCCTCAGACCCGTTGGAGGGCTGGACTATAGTTTTAAAAAAAACTATGAACAAATTCCTATGCACATTGCACATATCTTATTTTGAAGTATAAAAAACAATCCGGGCAAAAACACCTGGCGGGCCGGATAAATGTCCTTGGCAGGCCGCATGTGGCCCACAGGCCGTAGTTTGAGGATGCCTGGTTTAAATATACTCAAAAAGAGTTGTGCCATAATTACCACAATCGATTTTAGAACATTTTCTTCATTGTTGTATCCATTATTATTAGCTCGCCATTATCCCCCAACCTCCCCTGCTACAACCCTAAGGAACTAATTACTGTCTTTGTACATATATACCTCTCCTGGATTTCATAAAAAGGAAGCCATCCAAAAAGACCCAACAACAACATAAAATAAAATGGAGAAAAACCTCAATCCAAGATAAAGCAGAATAGAAACGAAACAAATTAAAATAGGTCAAAGGGGGAAACAAGTGATAATACATTAGCTCTGATACTTTAAGAACATGAACTTGTGTCTATGCCTATTCAGTTGAATATCTTAAGCTCCGATCCATTATGCAAATCATTGTGGAGCCTGGCTTAGTAATATAAAAATTTCACTTTTCCTTGGTAGCCTGAATGGCTCATACCAGCTCATGAGAGTTAATAAAGTTTCAGGGATTTTGCAAGCTGGTTGTTTAACTGTTGGTTGCTGAAAAGTGGCCACAATTGGGATTTTACTCCATGAAAAATGGCAAATGTTCCAAATCAGGTTTTGTTTGTTTGTTTGTTTTTCTTCAGAGAGGTAGTTTACCAGTACTCCACTGATAATTCTTCTCAAAGCTATGAACTCACTATACATAAAAGTGCAGCATTCCATAGGTTCATAATTTGGTAAGGGAAAACTCAATGTGTCCTCTCAGACATGGTTATGGTAACGACACCCTGTAGAGCGACATTATATATGCAAGAGTCTCAACAGACTGATGGGCTAGCGGAAGATGAGGCCTCGGGATTAAATTCACCTATCCAAAATTCTTGTCTTGAAGGCAAGTAAAAAGTGTATAAGCAGAACTGCCAAGAATACAGACTTACTCTTAGCTCGCTGGCTGTGAGTGGGACGATTTTGGAGCCCGAGATCAGGGGATAGTAGCAAAAAGGAGATGCACCAGGTTCCCCAGCCTTGAGCCAACCCAAACCATCTGAGCTATCATTTTATAGATTTGAATTCTCATTTAAGAGCAATTTAGAAAAATAACTATTAGTTTCAGAAAAAAAAACCCACAGTCTAAGGTAAGATAGGCTACAAAGTCAGATGATGGTCCCTAAGTTTCAAAAGGAAGAGACAGTTAAATATTCCACAGAAAATCCTATGAGAGGTATGTCTCTTACCTGCATTCCTTTCAGAAAGTTCAAACACTGACATTGTATCATCACAGAGAAAATATGAAATCACGAACATCCTATCGAGGTCAGCACAATTGTGTGTGATTAGTTTGGCAAAGAATCGAAATGTATTGCTTATGTTGCCATAGCTAAATAGAATAGAAACGAGGGTTAGAGATAAGGCAAGTCATCTTCCACACACTATGTACATATGAACAAGTGTACCATGAACTTAACATAGCAACCAAAAGTTCCCTCAGCTGAAGGAGTTCAACAATCTACTGCTGATTAAGTTTGAAGTCTATCTACTGAGGCCCTTTCTCAACTTATTCATCAAGTATTTTATATTCTTTTCATGTCCTAAGTAATATTAAGGAAATTTACTCAAACAAAGTGTCATAAAACACCCCACTCATACCAGCTAAGGGTGCCTTCTCTAATCACACTGCTAGTCAATAGTCACAACACTCATGCCAGAAAAAAAGCCCAAGCAGTTCGTTATTGTGCCTGGAGCACCTCAGAGGGGGTGCTGGTGGGATGCCTGAAGTCATGCTCCACTTTTACCAATTTTTTTCCTTCGGGACCACATTCTCTCCTCTCTGAGTTCCCTTGAATTCCCCCATCTCCCCTGAAAGGCAAAATGAAGTGTCGAAGGGATCAGGTATCAGGCATCAAAGAACAAAAAATCATATTATTGTTAATGAGGGGGAGCGCAAATTGGGTACCCAAAGCCCATCTGTAGGCAACCCCTTACAGAAGGGTTGTGGGGAGGAGACGAGCCAGTCAGGGTGCAGTGTAGCAATGATGAAACATACAACTTTCCTCTAGTTCTTAAATGTTTCCTCCCGCCGCCCTCCGTCTAACTATCATGATCCCAATTCTACCTTACAAAAATCCGGCTAGACCGGAGGATGTACACTGGTACAGAGAGGAACTGGAAACAGGGAATCCAGGACAGATGATCCCCCTTCAGGACTAGTGGTGAGAGTGGCGATACTGGGAGGGTGGAGGGAAGGTGGGGTACAAAGGAGGAACTGCTTATAAAGATCTACATATAACCTCCTCCCTGGGGGATGGACAACAGGCAAGTGGGTGAAGGGAGACATCAGACAGTGTAAGATATGACAAAATAAAAATAATTTATAAATTATGAAGGGTTCATGAGGGAGGGGGAAGCGGGGAGGGAGGGGAAAAATGAGCTGATACCAAGGGCTTAAGTAGAAAGCAAATATTTTGAGAATGATGAGGGCAACAAATGTGCAAGTGTGCTTGACGTACAATGGATGCATATATGGATTGTGATACGATTTGTATGAGCCCCCAGTAAAATGATTTTGTTTTTAAATGAACTTTCCCCTTTCAAACACTCTAAAAAATGAGAGACCTGCCTCATTTTATAGCACATCTAACCAGGACTGTCAGAAACCAAGTTCTGTTTTCCAAAGGCAAGGATAGTGTCTTATTAACTGATGCCTAATATAGCATATTATATATTATAAGCACTCAATAAATATTTAAGGGAAGGTGTTATTATGAAAGCTGGGTAGATTAGAATAGTCTGGTAGACTGAAGATGAAGATGGGATCAAATTCTAAAACCAAAGTTCCCCAAATTGACTGGTCACTAAGAAAATAATTAATGATCTGTCAGCAGACACACGTCTGCTGCTAGGAGCCAGTGAAAGGTGGACTTAGTAACAAATCCTTAGAGAGATCTTCAATAATAAAAATTATCACACTAAGGTGGTGCACACAGCATAATAAATCATATCCATCACCTCCCTGGCACAACTATGAGAAGTCTTCATTTGCAGACTCTCCAATGCTGAAATTCAGGCAAATATTTGCTGAAAAGTGATGAGGAACACGCACACACAAACAAGAATTTCTGATGTGCGAAGGCAAAAAGCACTTTGCTCTGTCACTTTCTTCATTGTGCAATGAAACAGGATTTAAGAAAGCAGACTCTAAGAACAGCAATTTGGAAAGATAGTCACAGGCAATCAGCTGCCATTGAGTGGACTCTAAATCATGGTGACTCCATGTGCGTCAGAGTAGAACTGTGCTCCAGAAGGTTTCCAATGACTTCTCCATAAGTAAGAGTCAGGTAACTCTTGGTGGATTTGAACTTCCCAACTTTGGTTAGCAGCCCAGGGCATTAACCATTTACACCACCCAAGACCTCCGGCCCAGAGAAGCACAGGGAGAAAAGGCCTGATCTCCATAGATAGCTCTGTTGTCTTAGTTCTGAGTTACCCAAGCTTCAGACGGACTTCATGGACTGTTGGGAGCATCTCCACATAGTCTGCCTTATTCACTGATTCAGAATTAGGTTTGTAAATAGCAAACAGATTTAGAAGTCTCCTCTCATGAAAGATGGACAAATTTTACAGGTGCCTGAAATATCACCCAAACAACTGAACCGAGATCTAACCTCAGGCCAAATGACTATTACAAATTAAACTTCTTAGAACGTACATAAATTTATTTAGTCTATATGTTAAGTAAAACTTTTTACATTTTTATGGAGCATATTTTAACTTAATTTTGGTGTTTTTGAGATCTTGCCAACTAGGATTATAATCTACCCAAACAAAATCTTTAGGCTAGCAGCTCAAAAATGTTAGTATGTATAAAAGTCACCTGTGGAGCTTGTTAAATAAACAGAACCTAGAGTCCCACCCCAGAGATGCAGATTCAGTGGTTAGCTTGTATCTCCTACATTTTTAATAAGTACCCGTAGGAGAATTTGATGAGGTCATTCCCAGAGCACACTTTGAGAAACACTGCAAGTATCTTGAGCTATTTCCTTGACTAATAAACTAATTATCAAACTTCTCTAAACATTTTAATGATACTCCCAACATTCACGAATTGTGAACAGTTTTCCTGATTCCTGCTGTATCTATACTGTTCGATCTCCTTTTCAAGGCCATTAAGAGGAGGCACCACACATACATACAGCTGTTTTTCATGATCCCCTGTAACATACTCTTACTCAAGCTATGCCAGCCACTTCATTTACTGCCCCAAACTCTGTTCCTTCTGCCCCCAGGTCTTCACAAGGTGTCTCTTTACCTCCAGGGCATACTTTCACCTTGCCCTTTGTCTGCTCAGAGTCTTGTCCCATCCATCGGATGCCCTTGGGTAGAACTCTCTTTGAATGAGACTTCTCTACCATTTGACTCGCCTCTCCTGCATCCACTTATAACCTGTAACACCTGACTTAGCTCTGTATAGACTTGTACTCTTGGCTAGCCTATTTTGCTTGTTTGGGTTTAACAATGTGTTTATTCCTACTCTCTCCCCTCCCCCCAATTTTATATTTTCATGATGGGGAGTTATGTCTTAATTTTTATACAGAAAGCCCAGAATTATCTATATTCAGTATCTATAATTATGCTCCTTTAATTCTTTCTGAAATCCACTTCCAATAAGTTTGCACTGCCTAAATGGCTCTTATCATGGTCAAAACGAAGCTCCACAATGCAAATTCCAATGGTTAATTCTTTGTCTGCCTCTAAGGTGACCCACCAGCAGCAATTTGCACAATCACTCCTTATTCCATGATACTCTTGTTTCACTTGGCTTCCTGGACCTTGTAGTCTATTGGTTTTGCCCCTACTTCCCTGGTTGCTTCTTTCCTTTCATCTCCAACTACCTATTCACTATCTACAGATATACAGAGATACCTTTTAGAATTCTCAAATTTATTTCAGAAATTCGACTTCTAATCTTATCTCCAAACCTATTCTACCTTCAGGGCTCCCCATCCTCGTGGATGGTAACTCTTAACTTTCTAGTTGCTCTGGGCAACATCCTTGACTCCTCTCTTCATTCACACCGCATTTATCCAATATGTTCAAAAATCTGAGTGGCTCTACCTTCAAACTATTTCCAGAATCTATTACTTCCAATCACTCCCACTGCACTTACCCAGATTCAAGCCCCCATCATTTTCTCCTAGACTACTTTACAGAAGTAATTTCTTAAGTGCACTGTACTTCCACTGTGATAATTACACAATTTTCTGTGATCTTTCTGCTTTCGGCATCATTGTATGTGCTATATCAGACGTATGGGCTAATGTTGAACTTATGGACTTAATCTGGACTGGGTTGAGACGTTTTCTTAATTTATAATTACTCTAAAGCTCTGTCTTACACACGAGTGTCTCTGGATCTCACTAGTCTACCTAGACTAACACATCCACTATTGCTTTTCCATAGCCTAATGGTAACATTGTATCTGGAGTGCTCCTTTTAAAATGTTAATCATATGCCTCTGCTCAAATCTCCAAATTGCCTCCCTTATCATTCAAGGTCAAAATCCTTAAAATAGTCTATAAGGCTCTATGTGATCTGCAGCCTAATTATCTCATCTCTGTCTAGTCTACCCCTTTACTCGTCTACTTTATTCATATTAGCTGCACTGATGTTCCTCACACACCCTGTTCACAGTCTTGGCACTGACTGTTCCTTCAGCCTGGAAAACACGTCTCTTTCCCAGTAATGTCTTCCCCAAACATACTATTTGACATTACAACCTATAGTCTTCCTTCCCACTTCAGTCTCCACCATTTATTTTTTTATAAAAACTTAATATCTTCTTTTTTCCATAGCATTAAACACCTTCTATACACTATATACTTAAGTCCTGGGTGGCACTGTCAAGTAAGCGCTGGACTGCTAACTGCAAGGTTGGCGGTTCAGACGCACCATCTGCTCCATGAGAGAAAGATGAAACTATCTACTCCAATCAAGATTTACAGCCTTGAAAACCCTATATGGTGTTGCTATGAGGCAGAATCAAGTCAATGGCAGTGGGTGTGTTTTGTCTTGTTTTGTTTAGTTAGGTACTGTATGACTTACTTAGCCACTATCCTTATTATTTATTGTGTGTCTTCCTCAACAAGAATATAAGTTGTACAAGGATCGGGCTTTGTGCTCATTTTGTTCCCTCATGCATTCCAATCACCTGACTGTGATTAAGTGGGCACTCAGTAAATGCTTCATTTTGCTGTGCGTAGGGTGGCTATAAGTTGGAACTGGCTCAAGGGCACCTAACAACAAGGTAGTTAGCATACAGTCTGCTATTTAATCCTTATTCTTATAGATGTAGGATCAGCAGAGTATTTGGGGTACCTACAAGAAGAAGTAATCCATTAAACATGCACAGTGAGAAAGAGATTATTCTTGTTCTCCTTAAATCAAATTAGACAACTTCCCCAGCAGGTCACCACCATGATACAGACTATAGGAAGTCTTCACTTATATAAAAAAGCTCATATACTTTCATTTGAAACCGTTTCCTTCAAGGATCCAAAGGATAACAGCATTGTCATTATACAATAATTAACAGCTAGTAATTTTTAATAGTCAACGTGTAATCAATATAGATCATGTAATAGTTAGATGTCTCAATTCACCGCTTATTCATTTGCATTAAATAGCTGTCCTTCACATGCTTTATGAGATCATCTTTGTCAGGTTCTCACAGTTTTTAAGCCTTGGGTTATTCTCACTCATGTATAAGTCTCTAGCTGAATGTGCCTGTTACTATGGAAACAAGTCACTGTGTAGGAGGAGTTTGAAGGAAGTATATTCCTGGCACAGAACGAATGAGTGGACATGAAGTAACAAAATTAGAGGCAGCCATGCCTACAGCACCAGTCTGCAGCCATGACAGTATAAGAACACAAAATGCTTTCTATAATCAGTGTTCTGTGGGCAACTTTGCACAATGCAGACAAAGAGAGCCTAAGTCAACTACACACAAAGAACAGTTTTCGCCTGGGTTCTAGAAGCAATTCTCTGGATAAGAGTTCATATTATTCTCTTGTAAGACAAGTTCTTGCTCATTTTACAACTGGGAGATTCTTCCTGCTTCTCCACTGGGTAGATTTCCTTAACTGCAGTTCGTGAAAAATATCCATCAAATATTCTAACCTGGAGCCTGCCTATAAACACTATTATCTATGAGGAAAAATGGAGTAATGGAATACATTCGTCTCCTGAAGGGCTTGTTAAAGCACTGGTCCCACCCTTGAGTCTTTGACTCAGATGGTCTGGCATAGAGAAGACCTGGTGGCACCGTTGTGAAGTGCTGCCAACCCACAGGTTGGTGGTTCAAACCCACCAACCACTCTATGAAACAAAGACACTACTGTAAAGATGCCCACTGCCATTCAGTCCATGCTGATTCATAGTGGCTTTATCCAGGGTTTCTAAGATTAAATTTTCATGGGAGAGACAGTTTCATCTTTCTTCTGTAGAGAGACTGGTTGGTTTGAACCCATGACCTTGTCCTTAGCAGGCCAATGCCTAACTCACAGCACCACCAGGTATATTGAAGCTCTCAGTCTTGGAAATCATAGGGGTAGATGTACTCTGCCCTATAAAGTTAAGATGAGTAGGAACTGACCCAACAGCAGTGGGGTTGAGGGTGAGGGACAAAAGTTAGCATTTCTAACAAGTCTCCTGGTAATGTTGATGTTTCTGGCTTAGGGATCATACTTCTAGTAGCGCTAATTCTAAAACTGAAAATAAAACTTTAAAATCCTTAACAATAAAGGATTACATGTCGTAAGACAAAGGCCATCATGTCGTAGCAAAGTCTTTTAGACATTCTGTAAAACCCTTAAAAACAATATATGTTCCTACTTTCCCAGACATATAAGAATTATTATTCTACTTCAAAATGAGAAGCCCTGGTGGCTGAGTGGTTACCTGTTGAGCTGATAACCCCAAGGTCAGAAGTTTGAAATCACCAGCTGCTCCACAAGAGAAAGATGAGGCTCTCTACTCCTATAAAGGCTTAGTCTCAGAAACCCACAGGGGAAGTTTTACCCTGTTCTAAAGGATCACCATGAGTCAAAACGACTCAACGGCAGTGCGAGAGAGAGCTTCTTCAAAATGTCCAGCCTTAGAATCTGACTCCACTAAATATTATCACGTTCAGGATGCAACCTTTTTATGTTTCCTTACTATGTTTCCCCTTTAGAATTTTTCTCCCTCGGTGCTCCTGGCCCACTGTTTCCCTCATACAGGACTTCAGGTATCAGCCCACATCCTGTTCAAACATCTGCAATACTACACTGCACTGCCACTTCTCTCTCCACCGCCTATCCCCTCAGCAAAAGCCAAAAGCAGCCATAAAGCCCATATGGGAGCTACATGATTCAAAAACAGATTTTCCCTCAAAGATACAAGAAATATTTGGGGGAATTCATATTCTGAAAGCATTTCCAGTCATGCAAGCAAACTATGGTTACTGGACTCAATGAAGTCTCTCAAGACTACACCACTAAGCGTCAAATAATTGAAGAAAATAGTTCAGAATCACTGAAGCCTGTATACTAGGAGTTGGCGAACTGTGGCCTGTGGATCTCCTCCCGCCCAACACTCTTTTTTGTGCACCCCATGCATTAAAGGAAACGTGTTCATATTTTAACGACTGAAAAAAAAAACCCAAAGAAGGATATTTTGTGATATGTAAAAATTACATAAAATTCAAATGTAAGTGTTTCTAAATAGTGTGTTACTGAATCATCGTCACCCATTTGCTTTCATACTATCTCTGGGTGCTTTCTCAGAGATTTGAGTAGTTGTGACAGAAACCGCATTGCTTGCAAAGACTAAAATACACATATTTACTCTCTGGTCCTTGAAGAAAGAGTTGTAAGCCCTGCATTATACCATATCCTAGAGACCATCTTGAGGGACACAAAAAGAGAAAGGTCATCAAGACCAGGTATATGATATGGCTTTAAGGGTCTGCAGATGCTATTTATTTAAACAAGCAGTCTGTAAACACCTGTTGATACTTGCAAGTTGATCACCTTTGCTATAAAGCTTTGACAAGAAACTAGGTGAGTTGAATGGTATCTGCTTTGTCATGAGGACTGCATTATAAACTCAAAACCATTTGGAAGAGCTTAGACTAAAATGATGGTTGCCTCAAGCACCTGTCTTTTTCCACAAATTTCTTGAAGTTCTTCCGATGAGGTGTGGCCATGAGCCCGATGCAAGAGCGGAGAGAATCCTCTTCAGATCCAAAGCCATTATAAGGTGGAAATTTCCTTTCTATTTTTGGAGGAGGTGGAGGCCTGCATGGAACTGGGGTAAAGTCCTCTGTAACAAAACAAAGGCAAACATCAATATTTTTTTCTGGCCCTGATTATGGTTGTTTTGAAAGGTCTGTTATGTTTTCAAGAAGAACATGCAGATTTTTGTAGACTATTTTAAACTTTCAAATAAAACAGCAAAATCCTGTGAGAGTAGGTTCAGTAACGTTTACAAAAAACACAGAATTCACTCAATAATCACCACTGATTCACAACAACAATTAAGTAAACATTTATCTTTTGACATCACATCCCCATTTTGGAATATTTTTTATTACTATTATTATTCCCTGATTTTTCCAATGATATGAAAATTCAAACTTGAAATTTTATGCCACCCATTCCACACTTTAACCTGTAATTTAGTCCTCTCCTATCTTTTGTCAACATTCACTAATAAAATTCCTTTCCAAAACAGACTCCTATTTCCCCTTTACCCATGAACTTAACCTTCCTCCCCTGTGAACACTACCCCCACCCTTTTTTTTCCAACTCAACTCTAGGATGGGTCACTTCACTATCTAGTTGAGGGGGGGGGGAGATCTTCTTTCTTCTCATCAACCACTGTTCCAGGTTATTCAAAGAAAAAGACTGCAATTTTACTAAAGCAGATGAGGGAAATAAATCTTATAAAATAGCCAACTCCCTACTCCCTCAAAAGGAGATTAGGCTAAGCAGTGCTAAATGGTAAATATTGTTGATCATACTCATTTGCTGATCATTTATTGATTCATTATCCTTTATTCACAGGAAAGAGGAATGAAGGGAGCCCTGGTGCCATATGTGTAAATGGCCAGGAGCTTTTACAAGGAGCTGTGGTGGTGTAGTATTTACACACTGGGCTGCTAACCCCAAGGTCTGCAGAGTGACCGTCCCAGAACCCACAGGGGCAGTTCTACCCTGCCCTACGGGGCCGCTGTGAGTCAGCATCCACTCAGTGGCAGTGAAAAGGAAGGAACTTAAGGGCTCAAACATGACAACAGTTGTGAGGATGGTGCAGGACTGGGCAGCGTTTCATTCTGTTTTACATAAGGTCTCTTTGAGTGAGAACCAATCGCAGGGCACTTAACAACAACAGGAGCTCTTAGAAGCTCCTTTGCACAGCTGTACATCTCCAAGATATGAGTGCTCATGTTGACCTGACCCTACCCAAGTCACAACAAATGGCAAATCTTGAATCTTACCTAAACTAAAACAAATCAAACCCAATACAGAATCCACTGCTGAAGTATACTGTAGGTATTGCCAATAATGAAAAAGAGAAATTCTACATAAGCAAATATTTCCTTTTCTGTTGTCATCATACTAGGAGAAAAAAAATGTGCACCAATTTTTCACTGAAAACAACCCAGGCTCTTTAAAAATAGAGGGATTTTTTGCTGAATGATCAAAAATTTAAGGGTTTGAAAGCCATTTATAACTCTGACTTATAAACATGTTCAGCTTTCACATTTCCTTAGACATCCTAGTAGCGTCTGTGTGAAATCTCCTGAAGTATAATTCCCAAAAGAATGGTGGTTCCATCTTAACAGAAACCTCTCACAAGAAACATGTTCACAAAGAGAGTGTCATTAAGTTTTCTCACTGGCTCGGGAAATGGGACAGCCAATCATCAGGTACAGAAGCAACTCTGGGGATGATTTTCATGGAGATTAAAAAGAAAGCTCAGTAATGAAGAGGAAGCCAACTTTTAGAATTAGCAGAATTGCAGTAAACTCCTATCATTGCTGTTACATATCAAACACAGTCCAGATTGATATTTTGATTTAAGGAAGAGAATCATAGGGCAGGCAGGGTGAATTCTCTAAGAGTATTAGACGATTGAGACAAGATCAATTTTTTATAAGCATAGACATACATTTGCATGCAATCTGAGCAGTTCAACCAAAAGAATATCTCTATTGAACTGCAAAGTAATTAAGAATGCATTCTGCACCTCCAAAAAGTACAGGTTTTATAGCACATTTGTTTTCGCAAGGACTTAATTTTTGCAACAGTATTTAAATAACAAAAGAAGCAATGGAGAGCTTTCTTTCCTCTGCACCTACAGTGCCATCTAGTGTATAAACGCTGAAAACTGTTCCATGCCATCACAGCTGACATACACAATACCATATAAATCTTTGTGGATACCCTGGTTCAGGATCCAAATTTAAATTTCATTTCACTGGGTAATACACATGCATTCACAAAGCTTTCAGCACAGACCTGAATGACAGCTTCCTATCTTTGGTCACCCACCATTCCAGCATTTCAGATGTTGCAAAACATTTGTTTCAGAAATGGGGGGGGGGAAATGTACTTTTATATTTTCCCAAATGTCTTTTTAAACGGGTGCTCTGGTAGTTCCGGAAAGGCATCTGCCTTTCATAGGATTTGATACCCCAAATTCCATATGATTTGTAAGATCTTATGTATTGAATGTTTATCAACAATGAACTTGATTTTAGGTTCCAAGTTTGTAGAGAAATATTTTTAAAGGAACCATGATACTGCTTCATGGTGATCTGCTCTTTGCCATCTCAGCTGGAAGCACAACGAGGAAAAGTAGGAAATTCGCTACCTCATGGTTGATCTCTTACATTCTAGTAAACCAGAGACAGACCAGGAATTTGGGGGTGCTCTTTCAGATCCAGAGTGCCAGATTAGTAAAACAAAATTAGGCACAGAACCTTGCAGTGGGGTCCTTACCAAAGGGAGAGCGCTCGAGCCTAAGCTTCGTTCACCTCAATGAAAATTTGCTTCTGCTTATACCCAGGCCAGAGGTAAAATTATTTTTGGTAGAACCTATCTATCACTTTGGGATCAAATCATTAGTCAAAGCATATAAAGTTACAGCTAGAAAATCATCTACACCTCAACCCTACTTATTTCACAGGTGAGGAGAAAGGGAGGTAATATTGTTAGGTCCATCAAGGCCGTGAGTTTTGACGAGAAGCAAATTCGATCCCTTTTGCTGCAAATTCATGTGAACAATCTGCATTCATCTTGGATTACCTCTAACAGTAAGAAGTCATAGATGTCTCAAAATGACTGCCCCAAATCAAAGGTGCTTTGAGATATTTGCTCAATCATAATCTCTGAATAGCTCTGTGTGTTCAAAAGCCAGGGAAATGTGTGGTTTTCTTACAAGTTTGGTTGTCCTAGCCTTATAGATAAGAAAGGCCTCTTAAAGACAAAGAAACAATAGCCCAAGACAGGAATTCCTGCCAAAGAACAGTCTGCATTCAGATCCCCCTTCAAAAACAAACACCTGCTGGAGGCCCTGGAGCCTTTTCAAACCTTCATTGCACAGAAAAGACTATGCATTGCCCATCCTTGTTCAGCCACATAAAACAGTGAAAGTGACATGCTATAGCCCATGGAGGAGCCGGGGCCAGCAGGTTGACAAAGATGCCCAGTGGGCAAGCCACACTGAGGAAGTCTAAGGAAACCCTTTCACTTTAGAATCCTTAAATGCACAAAAGAGTCTCTCATTTTTTGGAAGCCAGGTCAGGTTTTACACAGGGGTTCAAATCACTCTCAGCATTCTATCAAATTCTACTTGTATGACATAGAAGGGCGATCTGTGCAGTGTCTGGAGAAGGCGCACACTCCTGTTCTTAAGAGACTAGTAATGTATCATATCTCTCCAGCACTACATTCATTTTCCAAAATGCAAAATTTACAGTCTTCATATCAAACTGACACACAAACATCAACTTAATGTTGGGCTTTATGGTAAAAGGATAGAATCATATAATGTTTGTGGAAGCGTCACTATACAATTAACATAAAGGTAATCTTTCCATATGACACAAAATATTTTTTTTTCAGTGACCCACAATTTTATATATGATGGGTCTTCAAATCGTTCATGGAAAAATCCCACTCTCTTTTAGTTTAGTTTTTCCATGAACTATTTGAAGCCTCACTATATTTTTCTCAAGTTTTCAAGTCTACACTGAAGACATCGACTATATATAGCTATCAACATTCATTAAGACCAAATTCTCCTCCTTAACCCTTAGGGCATCAGCGTATCAGACTGTTTCACAGCCAGCAGCTTCTCTATAGTCTTTCACCTGCACATTCCTGATGACCTCTTGTCCACAGTTTCCAAGTACACCGGCACTGCCAACTAACGGACACCAATTTAGAAAATTAATTAAAATAAGAAGAAGCCACCAAGTTGACTCCTATAAGGCCCATACATTTTAAGTAATCTGGTATGCAAATACAGTGGAAGAAATTCTCTTGATGAATGTAAGAATGAAATTGAAAGTCTTTTTCTTTTGAAAGCTCTTTTGGTGCCTTCTCCTATAATATAAAGATTACCAGGAGGCCAGAAATACTACACAATAGGGACTCCGAGACCCATTAGGTGGGCCATATCTCATGCTGGAAACAAAGCCCCTAGTCTTTAAAGCTGGGCTTTCTTCTAGCTTTTATCTCATCTCGGGAAATTGTGCTTATATGAAACTCCAAGTTTCAGAGAGAAGTTATACAACTATGCACCCCCAACCTCATCCAGCTCAAAGTCTCAATCAGACACAGTTTAGGAAAAAGACCAAGATACTTCCTAAATACAGAGGCAAAAAAATCCTCTACAAAATATTAGCAAACGGAATTCAACAATACAGGAGTATAAAAAGAAGACTAGATCACAATCAAGCAGGGACTATCCCAGAAATGCAAGGCTGCTTCAGTATTCAAAAACTGGGCATTGTAACAATTAGTCCAGTAGAATAGTGTCATGCGACTATCCCTCTCCATAATCCTGAGACCAAAAGTACTAGATAGTACTTGGTTACCACTACCAGTTGCTCTGAAAGGGATCATAGTAGAAGGTCCCAGGCTAAAGTGGAAAAAATTGTGGAAGAAATCTCAAAATCATAAAAAAGACTAAGCTTACTGGTTGGATAGAGACTGGTTACGCTCCTGAGGACACGACACGGTGCTTAGTGCACCTTTAGGTGTGAAAATAAACTCAGCTCAGTGGCATATATTGCATATTTTTTACCATAATAAAATCAGGTAGTATAATTCAGCATATAAAGAACATAATGAAGAAAAAATGGTATGATGCAATCATATTGATACAAAAAGGGCATTTGGTAAAATCCAACATTGACCCATTACAAGAACTAGAAATAAAAGGGAACTTCCTCAAATTGAAAAAAATATTGTCTATTTAAAAATCTACAGCTAACATACTTAATGGTGAAATATTGAATGCTTTGCTCCTAAGGTCAGAAAGAAGACGGGCATGTCTGTTCTCACCACTCCTATTCAGTGGCATATGGGTTAGCCAGTGAAACAGGCACATGAAAGGAATGAAAGGTATCTGGATTAATAGGAAAAATGAAGTCCTTATTTATAAATGATAAGATAATATACTAACATTTTTTAAGTTGAGCTAAGTCCATTGTGACTGGTTTTTAAAAGTTATTTTAGTACAATTTATAAATTTACATACAGTAAAAATGACTTTTTTTGTATGCATGATCCATGATTTTTAACATATCTATTGATTTGGCCCTAATTGCAATCAACATTAAAAACTAGTTCTACCACCTGAAAACATTCTCATGGTATGACTTACCTTCTCGAGTCTTACTTTTCTAGAAGGTCAGATAAAGGCAACCTTTCAGACTTACTTCTGATAACATAGCAACTTGCCTTTGAGATCCATCCAAGTTGTTGTACATATTAATTGTGTGTTCCTTGTCCGTGCTGAGTACTATTCCATTCTCCAGATATACCACAGGTCTCTTTTTGTGTTCATTTACCCAGTGAAGGACATTTTGTCTGTTTCTACTTTTTGCCAATTATAACTAGAACTACTATAAACATTTTCTATAGGTTTTTGTTTCCACATGCTACAGGGTAAACCCTTGGGAAATATACACCTATATGTTTGAGAAAAAAAATTGCTACAATTCTCACAATCATTGCTGTATTTGAGGCTACTGTTGCAGCCACAAAGTCCATTCACCTCATTGAAGGTCTTCCTCTTTCTTACTGACCTTCTACTTTATAAAGCATCATGCCCTTTGCTAGAGATTGGTCCTTTTTCATAGTATGTTCAAAGGACATGAGATCAAGTTTCACCATCCTAGCTTCTAAGGAGCACTTCTTTAAACACAGATTCATCCCCTCTTTTGCAATTCATGATACAGTCAACATTTTTCACCAAAATCATTACTCAAAGGCAAAAATTATTCTCCAGTCTTGTTATTCATTGTCCAGGTTTCACATGCATACGAGGCAACTAACACTACCATAGGTTCACCTTAGTATTCAAAGTGACATCTTTGGTGTTTAACAATTTGTTTTCCACTATTTAGTGAATAATTTATTAAAGTCTTTTGCAGCAGTCTTGCCCAAAGCAATATATCTTCTCATTTCTTAACTATAGCAGGTCTTTAATAAATCAATGCTATTGGTTTTCATTCTGAGCTGAGCTATCCTGACCTGAATAGAATTGATATCTAAGAGGAGAGAAGTTGGATACCTGATTGAACAGAGCCAACTGGCCCACAGATTTCCTGTAGATCTCAAGTAAGTATTATCTACTATGATAAGCCCAAGTTAAATGAAGAGATTACCATTTACATTTCCATCTCAATTGCTCAACCACATTATTAACCCCATATGGTGAGAGGCAGAAGGTTGTAAGAGTAAATACAAGTCTCTGGCATTAGGCAAACTTAAAGTTTAGCTTGCCCTTTTCTAGCTACAGGACCTTGGACAAGTTAACCCTTTCTAGACCTCAGTGTCCTCAGAGTTAAAATGGAAATAGAAGCCTACCCTTGTGCAATTGTTAAGAATGAATGAGACAAAAAAAATTCCTAGGAGATAGCAAATGTTCAATAATAATAATAGCTTGTGAGCTTAGTATTATACACTAAAACCAAAATATTAGAGGACAAAGAATCTAAGTTTTAAAATGTCATTTTCTAGTTTACATCGGTAGCACTTACCAGTTCCATACTTAGTCTTATAATAATACTTCGTATATTCATCACAATCACAAAGGAGCACTTTTCTTCCCCATACATTGATGATGTTTCCTATGGCGAGGTCACTATCTTTGTAAAAATTCTGGTCTAATTTACCTAGCTAATAAAAACAAAGGAACACAGCATTGGTACCACAGACCCTGCAAGAAAGAAAGGCACCCCTCCCCAAAGGAAAAATAAAAAAGAAAGCATCTGTTATATCGTGTGGATCTAAATCTTTGAAATTAAATGAAAAGACAGGCAGTCATTGTTCTCTTAAACCATTTTTGCATTGTAGTATTTGTGAACAGCAATGCAATGAAAATACAGATATACATATTTGAGCATATTATTTAATAACTAGTCCGGTGCATTTTCCATAGATTTAATTCACAATACGTCTCAAAAGAAAAGAGTATGTACTTCACCCCACAGTTCAGATTCCAAGGAAGTCCCAATGGAATAAAATGGGAGGTAGGTTCTTCACCTTGTGTTTATCCAATATGTAACCTTCCACTCGAGTCGATGGTAAGCCCCCATACAAATTGAGAACCACCTGATTTGTTAACTGGCCTGGTTGGTAGATTCCAGGTGGGCCGCACTAGAAGACAAAATCAAAGCAACATGCGATATAGCTGGCCTCTCGCCACAAAAATGAAGTTATTAAAGAGTTCAAGAAGATAATCTGCCTTACATGGATTTTCTCTGTCGGGCCTATACGTCCATACCCCCTATTGGACAAGGTACACTCTACCTACCTACCATTCCAGGCTCAGAGTAAAACCCTAGCTTCCCCTTGGCCCTTCCCATCTGATTGATTGGTATGTTGCCAACCTAAATCTCAATAGCACTTTGCACAGGGCTAAACCACTTTTGGTGATTCTCTGTTTACTTCATCGGCAGTCACCTTTCCTCTTCACTAACCCACAAAACACCTTGAGGAATGAATGCCTCCTGTCTTTGCCTTTTCTTCATTCTGCTTAGCCTGGCCCTGAGTTCAGCAAATACTTGATGGTCAAGAAAGGCAACAGGGTAAGGAGCAAAGAACAGTGGACCAGGGTCGATCTCTCACAGATACGGTGGCCCGGACAAACTCCAGCAGGCCTTGGAGGTGGATCCAAGCAGTTATGTGAGCTACAGGAACTATCTTAATCAGCTTCTGTCAATTGGCGGTGATCACTTTATCTCATCCAGATGAATGAGCTGAACCAGTCCTAGTATGTGTGGCACAAAATGTCAAGTTTAAAAGCCTAAATTATAGGGGAGCTGGTGTAAGCCAGTCACAGAAGGTAGAACGAAAGATTGGGATGCAAGCTCTCTCCCTTCCCCACTAATATCTACAAGGTTTGGGGCCAAGTATTTATCTTTCCAGATTCATTTGTTTAACTGCAACAATAGTACTTATTCATTCCTTTCTCAAAGGATGCTGTGAGTGTCAAGGCAACACCCACTCCTATTGTATCTCTCCTCCACGAAAATCTAAGCTCCATGAAGCAGGACTTAATGCATTTTCTTTCTCACTGAAACCCAGAGCTGGCACACAGTTGGCACCCAATAAATATTTGTTGAATGAATGAATAAAATGAAGTGATTTATGTGAAGGCACACTGAAAATGTCAGGTGTGTCATTATTATTTTATATTTAGCCTCTTTTTCAAAGCCAATCTTAAAAAAAGGCTTCCTGGGCATCTCCTGGCCGCCTGGTGTGCATTAGCCAGAGCCCCCTCTGGGACAAATGCTGCCTCCCCCTCAACCCCCAAGCAACACAGCAGGACCTCTGATGGTGGGCTCAGGGAATCTGGGAGGGCCTAAGAGAACCAAACGGCCAGCCATTGTTTGCATCAGAAATGAGTGTGACATTATTAGCCTTTTCCGTAGCACTACGAATTTAATTTTAAAAAATCACAAGAACTAAAACATTACACTGAACTGTGAGAGAAATTTTTATATTTTCATGTGTTCTCACAGGTGTTTATAGGTCCTTGTTGAGTGGTTTTTAAACTAGATTACCCCATTCAATTTGGACAATGAGCTCAGGAGGAAAGCACTGTTAACATCATTTTAGAGAGGGGGAACTAGACTCAGATAGGTTCATTGGTTTGCCCAAGTTCACACAGCTATTTAAATGTCAGACTCACAATTCTAACCTAGGTCTGCCTTTGTGTCATGTTTGCTTCATTAAGTTACATTGCTTGCAAATAGCCATGAATATTTGTAGAAATCAATCCATTCTTCCGAAAAAATGGCAAATAAATTTTAAAATCTATGTTTGCTGTTAGACACTGGCTAGTTGTTGATTTGCTGACACACTCAGAGGTCACTCATATGTGTTTGTTTTGGGGGGGGGTTATATGTGTGTGCGAGAGTGTGTGTGTGTGCGCGCGCGCAATTGGTATTCCATATCCATGGGTTCCACATCTATGGATTCAATCAGCCATGAATTTAAAACATAAGGGTGCTTCAAAATGTTTGTGGAAAAATGAAATCAGCTTTTAATATTTTCTGCTTTTTTTTTCGACTGAGGTTTTCCTGTATTTTGTCTAGTCACTGTTGTTTTCTTTGCTTTCTGTTTGTGTTCTGTATGACTTTCTGTATATGAAATCCAGGATAGGTAAATCTATAGAGGCAGCAACTACATTAATAATTACCTAAAATATTCTGAAATTGATTGTGGTGCTGATTGCATAACTCCTCTTAATATGATTGAATGAATAAATTGTATGATATGTGAAACATATGCCAATAAAACTGACAACAATGGTAATGGAATTTTTCCATTAACCTTTTAAGCAGTCTCATATTTGGGGTAGGGGGGTGAAGTGGTCAAAGATTAAGAAGTAAGGTAAAGTACTATGTACATGGTATTAGGAGCCCTAGTGGCACTGTGAGACAAGCACTGGACTGCTAATTTAAAGGGTGGCAATTCAAACCCACCAGCTGACCTTTGGGAGAAAGATTAAGCTGATTGCGTCCATGAAGAATTATAGGCTCAGAAACCCTAAAGTGGTCTACTCTGTCTTACAAGGTCACTCTGAGTTGGAATTGACTCAATGGCAGTGGTTTGGGAGTTTACACTGTATTAGATGTTAAAAGTAATTCAGAGATGATTTAAAGCAGACAACAAGATGTGTACATGACACCATTTTATATGAGACTTGAGCATCTCTGTGTGTGAGAGAGAGTCAGACAGGCACAAACTGACATGAAATCTCCTCAGTAGGCTTCAGAAACCAAAAGCTAGTACCCTAAACCAAGGTCATGAACAATTATCTCCCTAAGGATACACTTTAACCTTCACAAAATGGATTGTAAAGTCAATGAGGCATTAAGTACTTGCTTCTTGCATTTAATTTTTTTCTTTGACTTGCCTTAATCTCATCATGTTTCAATTCCAATTTGTAATACCCTCTGCATTACTTTCATAGATTTATGTTTATAAAAAATTAAACCAGTTGCCATCAAGTTCATTGCAAATCAAGTCAATTCCATTTTGTCCCCATGGGTACAGCACAAAACTGTACCTTAGGGTTTTCAAGGTTGCGAGCTTTGGGAAGCAAATCACCAAGCCCTTCTTCCAAGGTACCTCTGGTGGGTTCAAACTACCAACTTTCTGTTAGTGTTGAAGACGTAGTGTTTATGCCATTCAGATACAAAGTACCTAAACATTTGTACTAACATATAATAATTGTCATTACATATTCATAACATCGCACACAGTGACTTCAGTCTTTCTACCCACCAGCAAAATTGGAAAGTGGCTCTGTGTCCACTTCTCACCTTGGGTAGCTTTGTCCTATGGAGAAATAACGATGAAACATCCCGGCCTGAGTTGCGTGGCAACAATTGCTTTATTTCAATGGTATCATCAGACAAAAAATAATGCAGGATGAGTTCTCTCCGGTCCCCAAACAATGAGGTTGTGTCATCCCACACACAGAAGAAACGCAAAACATGCTTATCGTGCTCAAGGTACTGTCTCAGGGTGTTTGAGTACTCATAGGGACGTAAGGGCTCTACGTGTTCTATCTGCAAATGGAAAAAAAGTAAATCATTCTTGGCCTTGAACCATCATCTGTTGGCTGCAAGCCATCAAATGACTTAAAATTTCTTTTCTATAGACTATTCTATAATTTTTTTTAAGTTTTTCAACTGATTGTGACATACGGGTACATATAACCAATTTTAAGCATAAAATTTCAGAAAAGCACTATTAGAAAGCTTTTAGTATTAAGGATTATTTTAGTATGCTATACATATGCAATGGTATTTAAAAGCTAACTTTTCTCAGTTGATGATTTAAAATTCTCATTTAAGGATAGGCAACCTACTGTGACACAAATTAGAACAGTATCAGCCTCTGGACAGAAGACATCATTCTGGGATGATGGAAAGACTGTGTCTTGATTTTTTCTGTTGTTTACATTTTTAAGGCAGTGATTACCTAATATTTGTACACTTGAATCTATATTAATTATATGTTAACCAAAAGGACATCATGTGTCCTTTCTATGGAAATTCATATCTAAATATCCTTCTTACTCATCCTAGGATCTTCATGAAGGTAAAGAAGAAATACATTCAAGGTTTCATTTTGTTAAAAAAGCTTGAGATACTGAGGATATGAAAGCCCAATGGAAACATGAGTAGAGCAAACGGAGACCTTCCAGATCAGTACAGAACTACTGTCTTGGCTTGGTTCTCTGCCCAAGGAACTGATAGATTGGTAATTGTCATGATACATTTTCCCCCACTCTCTGCATATTCTTAGACCTGTCTTAGAGCAAAACTGTTTCCACCCTATGTGACTGTAGATAATTAAGACATAAGCAAATATTCATTGGAAATGGTGACTCTTTTTGTGCAATTTTACTAGTGCATCCTTGAACTTCTTTATCTCTCCACTGCAGTCTAGGTTGGCTTACTCAAAAATAGGGGAAGACCAGGTCGCCTCAGTCTTATCCAGGTTACTGAAATGAAATCATAGAACCTCCACTGCCATCGATTGAAAAGTGTTTCTTTTGCATTATAAGACTATGAAATGGATTATTGATTACAAACCATTGGAACTCTTCTCAGTTTAAGGTAAATTGCTTAATTTTAACTTTATATTTCTAGGCAGCAAACACTAGATAAGTAAATGCAAGTGTTAATCTAAAAGCCTCCTAGCAAACTCCTAATTTTCCACAGATTTGATATTTGCTTAAGGATTTTCATCCTGAGGGAATACAAAAAATGATTTGACCAATCTGAAAGGAAATTATTAAATACATTCCTTGACTGTTATTGGTACTTATTTTCAATTCTGGGCATAAAACAGACTTTTATTTTAGAAACCAATGAAATGCCACAGTACTCTGTATTTCATGTATGTCTCATCATGCAAAATCACTATCATATCAAACCGACTGTTAATGAGTACAGCTATCTATAGTGGATAGGAATTCATATGGACTTATTTCTTTGATGTTCTCTCTGCTTGGTCTAAGGATTTTGTATTTATTTGGACTTTTTCATCCAAAGCATTAGGAGAAAATATAAATAATCCCAAGCCAAAAATCATCTTACATGCCAAAACACAAACATAATGCCACGGGTATTTTAATTTACATATTCTAGCATCAATATTATTTATTTCTCAGTAGTCTGTGTGTCTACAACATTAAAGAATAATTCTGCTTGGGCTTGAATAGTAGGTAATGGGAAAGAAGTAATAGCTGAATGATCCTACATACAGCCTTTCAAAAGCAATCAGAGGAAAATTTTATTCTAAATTTTCTAAGTACTCTTTCTGCAAGGAAATGGATCACAAAGTTTAAAACCCGTTTAAAAATCAAGCAAAACTAATCTACATGGCTAAAAATGTGAACAGTGAATACTCCTAGATGGGATGAGATTTACTTGGAAAAGGCAAGAGGAAACTTTTGGGGAGGATAAAAATTGTATCTCAATTTGGGTGCATGTTACAAGCATTTTAGATGCCTCCAATTGTACACCTGATGTCTGTGCATTTTACTATATGTCAATAAAAGGAGAAGGGAAACAGATGACAACAATAAAAATCAGCACAAGAATCCAAAAGTGTGGGATCAAGTTCCAGTAAGGAGACTGAATAACTGAGTTCCCACATGACAATATACGATTCCAGTATTTTGATTTTTCTTCCGTAACATAAAATTGGGGTCATTGGATCATCCAAAAGCATATAAAGGACAACAGTATTACTAATGGCCCTCCTCCCTACATTAACTATAGTCAGGGTTTGAAGACAAACATCCCTTTTGATGAATACACTCCTTCGTCTGCCAGATCATCTCTGTGCCCAATGACACCAGAAGAGGACCTGAGAAGAAGGAAAGGGTGGACTGAAGGCTTGGTTCAGTAAATTCGTCATAAGACACAAACATTTTCCAAAATCAGGATGAATGCAACTAAAATTTAAAAAAATACAAGCCAGGCAAGTGTGGACCCAACTCTTTTTTTCTTTTTCTTTTACATTTCTAAAGTGCCTTTATTTCTTTCATATATATTTGGATAGTTCGCCAGCCCTCCTGTGGGAGGAGTGATGCTGAATATACATCCTTGTATTCCAAGGTTATTCCTTTTTTAAAAAAATTATTTTATTGGGGGCTCATACAACTTTTATTGCAATCCATACATACATCCATTGTGTCAAGCTCATTTGTACATTTGTTGCCCTCATCATAGAATACATCTTTTTTTAGCACATTTGTACATTTATTGCCCTCATCATTTTCAAAACATTTGTTTACTACTTGAGCCCTCGGTAT